GATTTAACGGAAACATGAATAAGCATAAGCATCTAACTTGGTGACTTCCTATTTTCTAGAGGTTATTTCAGTTTCTTAAACATTGAGTTTGTTTACAAGATATTGAAAAGTGTGAAACCCTTTCAATGCTCTATGTTTAATGGTAGATTTTTCTCTGCTATAAATCTTTCTTATTCTTCTTTTCTAAGTCTCTTCTTCCAGTTCCAAACTCGGTTCTTCTAATTTCTAGGCCTCTCTTACACTTGTTGAATAATCCTCATTTTCTTTTGATTCTCATACTTCAAATCTACAAAAGTCTAAATTTTATTTGAGGAATGGGGCTTTGCAATGGAAATCAATCAAGAGGTAATTTACGCCATTTTATAACTAATCATAAGGAAATACCTTTTTTCATGTTTGTAGATTTGTGACTCTAGGAAAGGGCCTAATTGTTTACTTTCGCCCTTGGCTCTCAAAAACTTAAGGCCAACCCTGCCACCATGGATTTATTAAGGGAACTCATTAAGCTGAAAGTGGTGTTGAAGAGAATTGTAATATGACTCATAATTGATTGAATAACATTCGTGTTTTGGGTAATACTTGGTTAAGGTAGAAAACATGTTCTATCAAATTCACTTCTACAACGTAGGAAGCCAATTTTATGGGATGCACCCACAACCATTTTCAATATGATTTATTTCTTTTTGGGTTTTATCATTGTGATTTCAGATGATTTTTGGGTGCTAATAGTTTCTGGAATTTTAGTGGCACAATGACTCTGGAATTATCAAAGTAATTAAGATTTAGAAAATCACTATTAGGATTGATTGTCAATTGAAAATCGTACCAACACACCAACGCAATGGTGTGACGGAGAAAATTTCAAGCAGGACTCCACCGTTGGGATGATGAAACAAGTAGACTGCTGAACTTTTAGGATGATGGTTAAAATGAAGTAATTCAAAATAAATAAATAAAACAAATTCACATATTATTTCTTGTCCAACAAGCAAGCTTACTAGGAGCACCACTATGATTAATACTCCAGAAAAATTGTGGGCAAGCCCACGTTCTAGATGACGGTTGCATTGGGCATTTATTTAAGGGGGTTTCACTAAAACACCCAAAATGGGGGCTGAAATTATAAAAAAACCCAACACCCAAAACACTTTATAAACACACCCAAAACCCATCATTACACACACTCAAAACCCATTTATAAACACACCCAAAAAATATACAATTGTTGATTTTGGGGTTGATTTTGGATATATTTCTATGTTTAAATAGTGTGTGGGTTTTTTTATAAATACATGCCTAGGATTAGGTTTATTTATAATAATCTATTTATTTAAATATAGTCCAAGACCAACTATTGACTCACTTTAAGTCCATCCTTGTCCCATATTTGGGCCTAATCTCATATAACAGTTTCATTTTATTTGATGGAACAAAATACTTCATTCCAAGACTAATTATCATAGAAAAGTGCTAATGGACCATGGAAATTTAGGATTTGCCAATGTTGCTTTTGGAAAATTGAGGGTGTGCTAAGTAATGTTATTTTCTTTGTTATAATAATATGGGGTTCAGAGTTGGCTTAGAATTCAATAAGTAAAACACGGTCGGATCATTTGGTGAATAAATTAGTGTGTAAAGTTCACGAAAAATTATTAGTGCGTTGATAATGATGTGGTGTCATAATTTTTTGGACTTGCAAATTTACATTGGCATTTGACTTTGGTGTTACTGTCACATAGGATAATCTTTCTATGTTATATGGTCTATGCAATTAAAACTTATGTACGACTAACGGTAAAATTACGTGGCATGTTTGAATGAATGTTACGAAATTCACACAAATTATAAAGCATGTACCGAATATAATATTTTGTATTGGAGTTTAGAATATTATATACTGATGATTGTAAGTGCGTTAATTGGGTGAATTATCACATCCAAGAATTTCTATTCTTGTAAGCAATCAATCGTGCCAATCTTGTCAAATGATTTTAGGTACATCTGGTTTCGGCCGACAATTTGGGGAAAGTTTCTAATACTGGAATGAAATAATAAGTTAATAACAGTGAGAAAAAAGTCCTAAAGTTGAAAACTCTCAGTGACTTTTTCTAGATCATTTGGAGAAGTGCTTTCCATGTCAAGTTGGCCACTAGGGCTCATGCCAAGTTGGCCATTGGGTGCTATTTCCCCCCAAAAGATTTCTGAAAGCGATCCAACTTGAATGGGGAATAGGGAAGGGATGAGGCCTAGACTCCTATAAAAGAGCAATTAAATTTAATCAGAAAAAAAAAACAAAACAAAACAAAAAAACAAAACTATTCTTGTCATGATCAATGCCTTTTCTCTTACAAAATTTGCAGAAGTGGGTGTTGCAAACCTGTGGGGGTGATTATTGCATATATAAAGCATCAAATAAATGGGCGCTAATGTCGGGTGTTAAGAACAATCTTGGATCTGACTTTGGAAGAAGGCTCTACTGCTTTATAGGAAAATAATCTCTAGTAGTAATCCGCATGTTGTCCTTATATTTGAAACAATCTTTGGTCAACATTTATTTAATTTTTTTGACATTTCTTTTTCTTAGCCCCAAGCGTTACATTCAAAGATCATAGTATTTTAAAATGACATAAACATTATACGATAAATTATTCTACAAACAAACCACCAATCAGATTGAAAACCTATAGACTAATATTAAATGGTCAATGATAACATTTTTTATTTTTTATTTGGATGCGATCATACCAACTCACATGCACCGAATCCCATTAGAACTCCGAAGTTAAGCAAGTTTTCAAACATTTGACATTTTTATAAAACTCCAAACATAAGAGTGCTCATTAATTAAAGACAAAGTGGGAGACAAATAAAGAAACCCTAATCCTATGATAATTCCTTTTTTAAATTTAAAAATAAAAATAAAAAATTCCTCTAGCAAAGCAACGCATCATCCACTGAGCAAAAGACCAAGTCTCATGCTGCCGAAAAAAGATTCAATTCTTTTGACCAAACCAAACCGATTCTGACCTAAAATCAGATATAAATACAACAAGCAGGACGTCCTTTTTGTATTCTTGCCGAAGCTCTATTTCCTGGAAATTTACAAAATTCTGTAAAATATTATAAACGTTGTGTTCTAGATATTGTGTGTTGCACAAGCAAAATGGTCGTACTGATTTTGACAATTTAGCGTATAGGATGAGATCTGCCGACACATCCATCTACGGCATGCGAATTGCAACACTTTCTTGGGTGGGAGAGTTGGTCAACAAGAAGAAAGTTTGATCTTGGCCCCATAAAATGTACCCTACTTTTACGAAACTATAAAAAGATTCATTGCACCATGATGCTACTACGTGCACTTCACAACTTGAATAATTTTGCAAGTTTGCTTTACTGCAAAATAATAAGAATTCTATTCTAAGTTGTAAGTGGCAAGGGAGGGAGGATAAGAAAATGTATTCTAAATTGTAGGGCTCTTCTTACTCCAACCAGGAATCAGGATAAGCACCTCTGCCATCTTTGGTGTGACTTCTCCTCTTCCATTTCCTCGTTGTTTGTTTTGATGTGCCCTTTCGCATTGCGTTTCTAAATTTTGGCCCATATCTCCTTCCTTATTCCATTTGCATCTCCTTTCTCCTTATTCCATTTTGCGTTTCTAAATTGGAACTTTTGCAATGGAGATGTGGTCCCTGTCTTAATGGTCAACTTTGACCCTTACTTAGAACGTTTGAGTATGATAACTGTTGGTGGCTTGCTTCTCCGAACTCATGCTGTACATATCCCACTTGTTGGTTTCTCTGGACCTTCTTCCCTAAATCAAGCGGCGGTGACTTTTTGTTTATAGGGTCGGAATTTGATTCTAGGGATTCGGTATTTTTTGTTCCCATATTTTGTACTTGGAATTGGGCTTTTTTTTAGCCATTGTTTTTCTTTTTCTGACTTTGTAATGGGCTATTTGTAATCTCTATTTGGTAATGATATGTTTATTCATTCAAAAAAAAAAGAAGTAAGGTAATGACCAATAAGGATTGAAACTCAAGGTAACAAGCCTAAATCTAGAGACCAATGCTAACATTTTGGTTAGATGAATGCTAAGTGTGTGTCTTCAATTCAAATCAGAATAAAATGAAACCTCATAGGCCAAATGAATCAACATGGAGCAAAATAAATGGCGTGGTCCAGTTTTAAGTTGCCAACAATGAGGAGTTAGATTTTCATTCTATTCTTGAGATCAAAATCATATTCCATGTGCACCAATGGGGTCTAACCCAGTGAAACAGAGAATTCACTTGAAACACCAATGGTCTTAGATTCGAATCTCTATAGTACCATGGTAGTGTGTGTGAGAAACCCTTCTCCCTATTGTAGTTTAGACTATCGCTTGTATTTTAAAAAAAAAAATCATAGTCCATGTGCTTTGTGGGTTCAAGCTATTTCTATATACTCAATTTCAATTATTTTTGCCCTTTAAGTGTTCTTGTTGCCAATGTGACCACAATATTTATGCTCTTTGTCTAAGTTTTGACACTAGTTGCATGTGGACAATAAATTTCACATTATGTTCTGATTTCTTTAGCTAAGAATGAGGAACAATCCTTGAATCCTTCAAGGATTGGATGCAAATAAAAAAAGTTGCCAAGCAAGTTTCTAGGTGTTGCCCTATTTCTCTTCTTGTTTTTCAACAATTTGGCAAAAGCAAATGCTAAGGAACAATTTTGTCACACAGAATCCAATCAGACGTGTCACTCTTTTAATCATTCTAATACTACACGTGTCATCCCAACAATTAAGATCTCAATGCCTTTGCTTCACATTCACTCAAGAATTTTGTCACCATGTTGCATATGCATGCCAATGTCATGGGGTTTTTCTTATTTTCTATTTTTGGATATTAAAAAAAAAAATAGGGATTTCTTTTTTCCTCCCAAGAAAAAAAGGGTTATATAAAAAACTTTGAAGACCTAAAATTAAAATAAGAAAAAAAGACGAGTAGCGGTGGTGGGGAAGGGAAGAAACTTCATAAGCACCTTACAAGAAAACGAAAGCGGGTCTTCTTGGTGTCGTGAATTGAATGCGACCACAAGGCCACCCCTTTTATCTTTCTCTCTCCTCTTCTGCTGCCTCTGCCTCTCTCTCTCTCCCCACTACTTCCTAGGGAGGACTATTGGACTAAAGATTCCCTCTTTTGTATGCTACAAATATGAGAATGCTCCATGGGATATCTTGCAACTTATTCTACCACCCTTGTGATTTTTTCCATCCCAAGTTCGTGTTGATTTGATTGCAAGCCTTCACAAAACTTCAGCTTGAAAAAGATACACCCAAAGTGGGCTTTTAAATCCTTCTTTGGCCCTCTGAACAATAGATCCCTTGCCAAGAAATAAGCTTGCTTTTTATTTTTGGTTATAGAGCAATTACTGCTTGCACAAAGGTACCTGGGTCTTAATCTGTTTGATATTTTCAGCCTTTTCTTTTATTCCAAATGTTGTTTTAACCCTTTTTTAGTTGTTTGATCCATATGTTTTAGCTATATTGAGGTGGGTTTATGTTTGTTTGCATTTTGAAGTTCTTTGCTCTCTTCCTAATTGGTTTTTGTTTTGTTTTTGTATATGGGTTTAAAGAGATTTGGACAAAAAACCAACAATTGTATTTTTGTGGCATCGCTTTCCCCGATTTTTGTTCTTTACTGTATGTGTATTCCTATCTTGGATTAGGAACATTAATGGGCATCTGTGTTTTGATTTTGAACTTCATTATCGTATTTACCTGGTTCCAGCTCAAACTCTTGTTGTTTTTGTTTTTCTGGTTTTCTGTTGTCAGTTTTCCAAATGCAATAGAGAGACGTTTAGTTGCAATCTCTGCCTTTTATGCCTCGTCTGGCTTGAACTTTTCATATATTTCTTAGATCCAGAAAATATTGAATTACTCTCATCTCTCTCCATTTCTGCTGATCAGGGGAATCTAGAATTGCAGGAACAGATTTCTCTATGGTAAGCACCCCATCCTTAGTTTATACTTAATATTAGTTAATAAATTAACTTTTATCAGGAATGTAATTAGAAATGATGTCTGCATGTGAAGCAAGATGGTTCCTTTGATGTGATTTGATTTTGGTTGTTGTCATCAGGGAGAAGCCCCAGCATTCTTTGTTGATGAGCTGCAGAAGGGATATGGAAATGGATTTGATATAAAATCCAAAGGCGGTGAAACAGCCATTCTCTTGGGCAACAGAACTGTATGATATTTAACATATCAATATGATTTTGTCATCCAATGCCCCTGTTTGTTCTTCAGTGATTTACCACCAGGTCAATCATATTGCCAATGCATTTTTTGACAGTACGTGATTGGTGGAGCCTGTGAGGAATCGCCATTGTCAATTGGAGTTCAGATTTTTGACCAATCTACTGGTGAATGGTAAGTGTATGACTCTTGGTATTAAATTGCTTTTGTCTGATTTTGTTACTGATATCTGGTTTAAATTTGCAGGATATATCCTACTGTGTTGGGAACAAAACCCAAACCATGTAAAGGCCTTTCAGCAGTGCTTTTAAGTGAAGACCGAATATTGATTACTAAGAATGGTTCCACCCCAGACGATTTTGCTTGGTTCCTTGAGGTGGGTACCTGTGAAACTATTCAGATATGATAAGGGAGAGTACATTTGAACAGAATAAAAGATGTCACAATTTCGTCTCATTTAGTAATAGTTTAATTTTGAGACAGACAACGGAAGATAAAATGAGACTGCACCAAATGATAGGAGTTTCAAACAATAAGTTTGGAAATAGAATTATATTCAATTGATGCGAGAACAAAATAACTCCTGTTCTTGTTGCTGTTAAATAAAGTGGAATTGTTCAGTTAACACCATTCTGTCCATCACGTATTACTTTTAGATGATTACTAGATTATTCTGATTTCTGAAATTGTTTTGTTGTAGGTGGACACCCAATATGTAAGGCAGCAGAAGAAAATTTTGGGCACCGACGTGGTTGCCTGGAGTAAGGGTGTGAGGGGCTATCCTGAGAAGCCAGTTGTTATTAGTGGTCCTTCTGGGGTAGGTAAGGGGACACTAATATCCATGCTCATGAAAGAATATCCCTCCATGTTCGGATTCTCGGTGAGCCACACAACCCGTGCTCCTAGAGCTATGGAGAAGGATGGGGTCCATTACCATTTCATTGAGCGAAGTGCCATGGAGAAAGAGATAGAAGATGGGAAGTTCCTTGAGTTTGCTTCTGTGCATGGAAATCTCTATGGAACTAGTGTTGAAGCAGTAGAAGTGGTAGCAGATGATGGGAAGGTAAATTTTTGTATTTTTATGTTCTTTGATAAGTGGTTTCTATTTTGATTATTGTTGGAGCCTGGTCATTTTCTTTATCATGTCAAACTTGCTATATGGATCCGCCATTTGGTGAATCAAAGCATCTGTATGATGATTAGTTGTATTTGGAACAACTTTTCTAGATTGTAGTGTGGTTTATGGGATACAATTAGAGGCTACTTCATATAATCCTTAATGTCATGGTCAAAGTTGTGTTCTTTACTGAGATTCTTGTGGTTATTCATTCTGTAATGTTGTTTGCTTTCAATGTAGAGATGCATTCTTGACATTGATGTTCAAGGTGCAAGATCCGTGAGGGCTAGTTCACTGGAAGCTATCTTCATCTTTGTATGTCCACCCTCAATGGAGGAGCTTGAGAAGCGCCTTCGTGCAAGGTAGTTTGAGATGCCATTTGATTTTTTCTCATTCTCAAATTCCTCTTCCACATTGCCAATTCTGAGTATGCTTAAATATGCTAAACAGGGGAACTGAGACAGAGGAACAGGTCCTAAAGCGACTTCGAAATGCCAAGGCTGAGATTGAGCAAGGGCAATCATCAGGCATCTTTGATCATATGTTGTATAATGATAACCTGGAAGAGTGTTACAAGAGTCTTAAGGTATATGTTCCTTTCTTCTTAAAATTTCACCGATGCTTCTAGCGATGTTATATATTTTACTAATTTCCTTATCAGTTGATAATTTTTACTGCTTAGTGATAACATATTCCCCTGTTTTTGTAGAAACTCTTGGGGCTAGATGGAACTGTCACTGCTCCTCCTAAATCATGTAAGAAATGGTTCAATTCAGTCTACTGTAAATTGTTTCGTATTAGTTTTATATGCAATTAATTGAATTTAACGTGTTTAAATTCCATTTCAGCCTCTAAAGTGGTTGATCTGCCTATGGACCATTCAGTAGCCAAAATTGATCACAGAATCATCATAAACTCTAAAACTCCGGAACTGGGAAAGGCATCTACGAACATGTAAGTATCTTTTTCATTGTTAGTTTATTCTATGGATAAGATATTCAGCTTGTTTACACGTTTACGCGGTCTTAGCAGGATTGTGCTGGATGTGTCATCCCTCAAAGGAGGGGCCCCTGGACGGACTAGAGGGCTAGACATTTATACCATGGACTCATTTTTGGATGGTTTGGCTGGTATCAATCACTGAGCCAAAGATTTCAACCTAGATAGCGACCGACTTCTTTGATTTCTTTATTCGTATTTTCAAATCTTTCTCAATTTTAATCTTAAAGAAAAAGTGGTGATGAAGCTTCTTATTTGATTGTGTCAGATCATCGCATAGATTGGATTATTTTTTTCCCCATTCTTTGCTTGTTTAGAACAGAGATGACTTTAGACTTGGAGCAATGTTGAACAATTACAATGACCCCCACATGGGCAAATGAGAGCTGATTTATGGTTTTGTTCGGCACATTTGAATATCGAGCTAAGAAAACCATACGCGAGGATGCCATAAACATTATTCTGAACTGTTGTTATAGCTTTTGCTTTTACCCTCACTACCAGTTTAGAAAACTACTCCGAATTTAATTTAGTCAGACTAAACCAGGTTGCTGCATTTAGTTCTTTGTAGTCGCCAACATCAAACATGAGGGTTTTACAGGTGTTTCATAATATCATGGTGTCTGATCGTAGCAAAATCATACCATTTTTCGTGCCTAGAACTCGGCCTGTGCAACTATAATGTTAGTGGTAAAGGTGAATCATGACATTTTTAATGCCTAGAAATCAGCCTGTCTAACCATATTACTACAATACAGTGGCTTAGTAAAGGTGTATTCAATTGGGAATTCACAATATTAATATTTACAAGTATCTTGTAGCTCAGATGGTTAAGAGCAGAAATCCTTGCATCCGAGATCCGAGATTCTGTGTTTAAATTCCCCTCTCGATAAAGATCAGTGGGCATAGTACATTAGTGAAACACGAGGTTGGACTTAGAGTGTCTAGATACAATGACAAAGTCAAAACAGCTCCAAGAATGGGTCGCTTAGTCATAAAGGTCGGGAAGAATAGGTCAATATGCTTGTTTAGTTTTTCTTTTGAATGGAGAATGGGTCAAATTAGTTAGCTGGTGTTTGGTGGACAGCAGTGGATACACGGTTGCCATAAGTCGCCAACTTTCCAGATGGTTTTGGACTGGATGTATCTCGGAAGGCCTTTGTTTAGATTTAGAATGCAAAATGCCACCTACATATATACATATGTAACCATCAACCAGCTGCAATCTAACAAACATGATGTCTAAATTTCCAAACACTTCCAATTATGCCGACATCGTGTTTAGGGTTAAATGCCATATTTGACCCATGTGAATTTTTATTTTGGTTCCCATGTTTAATTGACGAATTTCGTCTTTGTGCTTTGTCATGTTAACAATTTTGGTCTCATTTGACGTTAATTTGCTCGATTTGTGAGGGCACAGGCAAAAATGACCCAAATTAGTAACATATTAAAGCTCGTGGAATAAATTGGCCGAATTTGGAAATACAAAATTGAAAATCCGAATAAAACATAGGGATCAAGAAAGTATTTTAATACTTATATTTAATACAACTTATAAATTGCAGGACCGGACTTATTAAATTAGATAATAATCTAACATAGTTAATTGATTGAAATCTAGTTCGAGACGAGCCACCAAATAATTCCCGTGTAGAATCTTAAAAGCTTGGTTTTATTAGTGGGCGGCTGACATTACGTAGCGGTCATTTGCCACCACCAGCTTTTGAGTGGTTCAAATTCGCGGCAAAGAAGTATTGGAGTATTTATTCTATCGAGGACAAAATTCTAGAGAAAATCAGTCTTGAAACATCATGATCATAAACAACGATGGTATTATTAAGCTAGATGAGAAGTGTACTTATGGACGTTTCTATCATCTAGATTCCCAGAATATTTAACAATGGCCGTTAATGTAGTTTTCAGTTGTGAATTGACGTAGGAATGCGCGCTTAAAATAAAAAGATGACACTGCTTCGCTCTTAAAAATTACAGTTTCACACACATATACAAATAATTTATATAAAACACACAAATTATCTTTTTACAAACATGTCAAACTGTTTTGTTGTGAATTTGGCCCAAGGTCATATCTTGGAGGCTGAGGTTTGGGGCCTATATTTTGGTCTAAAGCTTTCTGTTGAGAAAGGTATCACTAATCTTGCTATTAAAATGGATGCTATTGTTGTTGTCTCACTTGTTCAACAAATCAATTCATTGCAATGCCATCCTCTTGCTGCTTTGGTTCATAGTTGTTTTGATCTCAGGAGACAAATTGGAAATTGTCACCTTGTCCGCATTTACAAGGAAAAGAATTGTGTTGCGGATTGTTTGGCAAACTGGAGTTATAATCTGGACCGGAGAATTTGCTTTTTTGATTAGGCTCCTGTCTGGGTTAGCTCACTGTTGGTGGATGACTTGCTTGGTCTTGCTAGGCCTCAACTCATGCGTGGTGTTTAGTTGTTGTTTTCTGGGGGTTACCCCCTATTTCACCCAAAAGGAAAAAAAAACATGTCAAACTGTAATTGACAGATTTCTTATTTCCAGGGGAGGAGGCAAATATTTGCCAATAAAAAGGGGCAAGGTACCAAAAGTCCATAGCTGTCATGGTTTGAAGTGGAGCCTCATGTGGGTTCTGAAACAGTCCCTAGGATGGATGACAGTGCTATATATGCTTCATTTGCAGGTGTGGTTTGGTCTAGTGGGGCAAAGAAACCTAGGGTTGTAATTTTGTAAGGTCCAAGTATCTCCACATGCCATAATATGCCAATTGTGTTAGGGACATGGGCAACTGGGGCATCAGCAAAGAAACCTAGGGTTGTAATTTTGTAAGGTCCAAGTATCTCCACATGCCATAATATGCCAATTGTGTTAGGGACATGGGGGCATGGGCAACTGGGGCATCGTAGAGGCATTCTATCTAGGGAAGTTGGAGATGGCCCATATGAGAAACTTCTGCAGTGAGGGCCATTGCAGCATATGCATGTGAAACTATGAATCTGCTACCAGTTCAGTGGGGCCCCTGAGTACTGAAAGAGGCCACACAGGGCAAGTGGGAGATTTGGTTGTTGTTGGTTTTCAGTTTGGGGTAGGTCGTATTTCACATGGTGCTGTGCAGCTATATGGGAGGTACTAGCCTGCTTTTTCTATTTGGCAGCTGCTATGGCCTCGGTGCATGCGGAGTCAAATTTTTTTTAGGAAATGGACAATATTTAAAAGGTTAAAAGTTCAAAAAAACATATATATACAACTAAACACCCTTAGAATCTAAACAATAAAAATTTCCTCAGATTCATTGTGGGCAAAGTCTCTTAGAGACATTTAATCGAACACATAGTGGGTACTAACAGATGTGCATATTTTGACATCTCCAAGGAATTCTCTGGCGAGGGTAGAATAGTCAAGCACACCAAAAACCCATAAACACCCTTGAAATTTCAGAAATAACTTATCATCGTTATAAGGTAGGACCCAAACTCTATTATAGGGCCCAAAGAGTGCTCAACTTTGGGCCTCTAGTGAAATTCTCATGTCATGGACCCAATCTGAAATTTAAGCCCTTCTCCTTCTGGTTTGAAGACCTACTTAGTAGGACCAGCTCGTCTCTTTTGTTAAAGATGAATATCGTACAGAAAAATCTAACCTACGAAATTTTATCATGTCATGGTGCTAAAATGATAAACCAAATCAACCGTTAAGTTATAGTTTCAAAGCACAACTTAGACCATATGGTAATTTACCATTATTATTTTTAGCAATGGAGAGGAGAGATGCGAAGTTGAGACCTCTTCCAACATGAATAAGAGAATGCCAATAAACTATAAGAACTAGTTGGTTCTCATTTTTGTTGTGGTTAAAGCAATGAAAGGGTCGATCCATTGTATTGGATTCTACTCCTTTTTGTTTGTCTTACTTTGTCCTTGAAATTCACTTTGGATTGAAAAGCTTGCTCCACGGATTTGTTTGTTCATCTTTTTCATGTGCTTCCACTGAACCAATTAGTTCATGTAAAGAAAGTATAGATAAAAGCTCTCGATTCTGCTATTGCGGCATCGATATGATTGAATTTTGGTGGTATAACTAGGCTTCGTAAAGTTTTCGCAACGATTTTCTTGTTTGGAATTGTTTCACCGTAACTTTTGATTTGGTTCACAATACTAGTGTTAAAATTAATGCACACTTGTGTTCTGAATAATATAGAATAATCTAGAAAATTTGAGAGAAGTTGACAAGTTAAAGTCACTAGAAACATCCTACTAATTATATAATGTATTATAACTAGAGAAATCTAGAATTAGAAGACAATATGTGGCTGAAAATGACTTTGGAAAAGTCGTGTGCAACCGACTTGTCCAAAGCAAAGTTGCTGACTAAGTATTCCTATAAATGAGCCTATAGCCTCTCAATGTAATCAAGCTAAAAACCTACAGCTGTCCAACTCTAGCCATCAGCCAACTCAAGTATTAAAACCTTGTACCTTTCCTATTTCAATCAATAAAATAAAACTACTTTGTTACTCTTTCAAAAGTTTTCCTAAGCCATTGTCCCAAACACTACCAACCATTCTCTAAACCTCTTATCCCTTAAACTAACAACTAGAAACTTTTGTGAAGAATGCTTGAATGGATTCGTTGTCCTTCATAAGTAAATTATCAAATTCCCGCCACAAGGATTGGAGTTTGATGGAGATCACTTTTTGTGAACCTTGGAACTCAATTTTGAGAATATCCCAAGTGCCCTTTGATGTTGTAGCTGAAAGAAATCTTGGAAAGAGATATTTGCTTTTACTCCTTGTTGAATTAGGAACATAGCCTTGGCATCTCTTTTCCTATTTTTCTTGTAAGCCTGCTGCTTTTCTGGTGTCGGTTTTCCTGCAGATGAAGTGTTTGGATCCTCATAACCATCTTGGACAAGATCCCAAAAGGTCATGGAAAATGAATAAAGTCTTCATTTGTAGGCTCCAATGATCATAATTCTCTCCTTAAAAAAATAGGCACTAAATTCAGGACATTGCCAATGGTTGAGGAATTTGAACTTGATGCCACTGTTGACACAGCGGAAGTATCGGTTTTGCTCCGATACCAAATTTGTTGGAGGAAGGATCACAAAACTGAAATATATATATTAGAAATATGATTTTTGACAGAGAGTATTTAAAACAGTAGAATCTGATATTTGATAATACACATATACAGTTCTTCTCCTAATAGACTCGAATTAAACTTTCACCAGGAGCAGATTCTATTCTAGTCGGAAATCGAAAGGCATGAAAGGAGGACAAACTTCGGTTACAGAGCTGTGCTCGCTGGATTTGGCTGCTTCTAGCAGATTCGTTAGCAAACTTGTAGCTCCCAAACTAATTCCCTTATATTTCTTGGTATCTGTAAAATCACCAGTTCCGTAGTAAGCAG